TCTAAAGGACTGTCGGTGTATTTCTTTTCCCTTAAAAATCCTCTATACAACCTTTAAGAGCGCGGAACGTACGGTATAAGTCGAGTATAAATCGCAGGACCACCCAAACCATAAAAAACGTGCACCTTATAGTCCGAAAAACCACCTGTAAGTGAACACATGTAACATTGATCTGTTTAATGTCACACTGCGTAACATTCCAGGCACAGCAATGACATCCCCATAGAAACAAACACGACAGAGAGAGAAAGATGGACTCATTGGATTAAAAATATTACAGCAAAGCAGCTCCACAAACGGGATGTAACTGTCACTGGCAGTTTCTACGCGATTCTCATCCAACAGTATCTCCAGCTGGATAAAATTGCGTGTCCTAGTTGCATCCTTATGGTTCTCACGGAGCCAAATTTGACAGTAAACTGTATTCAGCAAAATGGTACCCCCCCTGCCACGGCACTACCACTGAGCCCCATTAGAGTGCTATGATAAATATGCACCGGATAATGTATTGCTGTGATAAATAGTAGAGCAAATACACAAACTCTGGGCCTTATGAATATACAGCGTGTACTTCAAATACTGCAAACTAAACCGACTTATTCAGATACAAGATGCGTAATGGACTAATCTGTAGAAATAACATTATGGTATGAAATGGGTCACGGAGAAGAAAAAAGAAAAAGGAAATGCGATCGTCTGGCTGAGAGAAATGGTGTGTTTACCTTATTCTGCAACCTGCATCAGAATGGTTCATGTTTTTTTCTCTCCCTACACGTACGCTGTCGTTTCTCTCTCTCTGTCATGTTGTTTCTCTCTCTCTGTCATGTTGTTTTTCTCTCTCTGTCGCTCTCTCTCATTCTTGTGACTTATCTTTAACTCTCATGCCTCTCTCTCTCTCCATTCCTTGTCTTTCTCATGTCTTCACTCTTAACTTTATACTTTCCCTTCTCTCTCTCTCATCCTTTTCTTTATCTCGCCATTTCCTTGTCTCTCTCATCCTTTCTCTCTCTCTCTCTCATGCCTTCTGTCTCTCTCATGCCTTCTCTTTTACCCTTATGCTTTCTCTCTCTATTATCCCTTCTCTCTCTCTCTCTCTCATCCTTATGCTTCCTTTTGCCGATTCCTTGTCTCTCTCATCCTTTCTCTTTCTCTCTCTCTCTCTCTCTCTCATCTCTCTCTCTCTCTCATGGCTTCTTTCTTGCCCTAATGCTTTCTCTCTCTCTTATGACTTCTCTCTTTCTCATCCTTTTCTTTATCTCGCCATTTCCTTGTCTCTCTCATCCTTTCTCTCTCTCTCTCTCATGCCTTCTGTCTCTCTCATGCCTTCTCTTTTACCCTTATGCTTTCTCTCTCTATTATCCCTTCTCTCTCTCTCTCATCATGCCTTCTATCTCTTTTTCTCTTCATCCCTTCTCTATCTCATGCCTTTTCTCTCTTTCTCTCTCATGGCTTCTTTCTTGCCCTTATGCTTTCTCTCTCTCTTATCCCTTCTCTCTCTTTCATGACTTTTCTCTCTCTCATCCTTTTCTTTCTCTCGCCATTTCCTTGTCTCTCTCATCCTTTCTCTGTCTCTCTCTCATGCCTTCTGTCGCTCTCTATCATGCCTTCTCTCTTACCCTTATGCTTTCTCTCTCTCATTCCTTCTGTCTCTCATACTTTCTCTCTCTCTCATACTTTCTCTTACCCTTATATGCTTTCTCTCTAATTCCTTGTCTCTCTCATCCCTTCTCTCTTTCATGTCTTTTCTCTCTTCTCTCTCCTATCCCTTCTCTCTCTCATGCATTCTCTCGTACCCTCATGCTTTATCTCTCTCATTCCTTGTCTCTCTCACCCCTTCTCTCTCTCTCTCTCATGCCTTCACTCTCTCATGCCTCGTCTGTCTCTCGTCCCTTCTCTCTCTCGTGACTTCTCTCTCCCTCATCCTTTTCTTTATCTCGCCGTTTCCTTGTCTCTCTCATTCCTTCTCTGTCACATGCCTTTTCTCTCATGCCTTCTGTCTCTCTCATGCCTTCTCTTTTACCCTTATGCTTTCTCTCTCTCTTATCCCTTCTCTCTCTCTCTCATCTTCTCTCTATCTTTTCTCTTGCCGAATTCCTTGTCTCTCTCATCCTTTCTCTCTCTCTCTCTCTCTCTGTCATGCCTTCTCTCTCTCTCTCTCTTCATCCTTTCTTCTTTATCTCGCCATTTCCTTGTCTCTCTCATCCTTTCTCTCTCTCTCTCTCTCTCATGCCTTCTGTCTCTCTCATGCCTTCTCTTTTACCCTTATGCTTTCTCTCTCTCTTATCCCTTCTCTCTCTCTCTCTCATCCTTATGCTTTCTCTTGCCAATTCATTGTCTCTCTCATCCTTTCTCTCTCTCTCTCTCTCTCTCTCTCTGTCATGCCTTCTCTCTCTCTCTTCTCTCTCTCTCTCTCTCATGGCTTCTTTCTTGCCCTAATGCTTTCTCTCTCTCTTATGACTTCTCTCTTTCTCATCCTTTTCTTTATCTCGCCATTTCCTTGTCTCTCTCATCCTTTCTCTCTCTCTCTCATGCCTTCTGTCTCTCTCGTGCCTTCTCTTTTACCCTTATGCTTTCTCTCTCTTATCCCTATCCCTTCTCTCTCTCTCTCTTCATCCTTCATGCCTTCTATCTCTTTTTCTCTTCATCCCTTCTCTATCTCATGCCTTTTCTCTCTTTCTCTCTCATGGCTTCTTTCTTGCCCTTATGCTTTCTCTCTCTCTTATCCCTTCTCTCTCTTTCATGACTTTTCTCTCTCTCATCCTTTTCTTTCTCTCGCCATTTCCTTGTCTCTCTCATCCTTTCTCTGTCTCTCTCTCATGCCTTCTATCGCTCTCTATCATGCCTTCTCTCTTACCCTTATGCTTTCTCTCTCTCTCATTCCTTCTGTCTCTCATACTTTCTCTCTCTCTCATACTTTCTCTTACCCTTATATGCTTTCTCTCTAATTCCTTGTCTCTCTCATCCCTTCTCTCTTTCATGTCTTTTCTCTCTTCTCTCTCCTATCCCTTCTCTCTCTCATGCATTCTCTCGTACCCTCATGCTTTATCTCTCTCATTCCTTGTCTCTCTCACCCCTTCTCTCTCTCTCTCTCATGCCTTCACTCTCTCATGCCTCGTCTCTCTCTCGTCCCTTCTCTCTCTCGTGACTTCTCTCTCCCTCATCCTTTTCTTTATCTCGCTGTTTCCTTGTCTCTCTCATTCCTTCTCTGTCACATGCCTTTTCTCTCATGCCTTCTGTCTCTCTCATGCCTTCTCTTTTACCCTTATGCTTTCTCTCTCTCTTATCCCTTCTCTCTCTCTCTCATCTTTATGCTTTCTCTTGCCGATTCCTTGTCTCTCTCATCCTTTCTCTCTCTCTCTCTCTGTCATGCCTTCTCTCTCTTTCTCTCTCATCCTTTTCTTTATCTCGCCATTTCCTTGTCTCTCTCATCCTTTCTCTCTCTCTCTCTCTCTCATGCCTTCTGTCTCTCTCATGCCTTCTCTTTACCCTTATGCTTTCTCTCTCTCTTATCCCTTCTCTCTCTCTCTCTCATCCTTATGCTTTCTCTTGCCAATTCATTGTCTCTCTCATCCTTTCTCTCTCTCTCTCTCTCTCTCTCTCTCTCTCTCTGTCATGCCTTCTCTCTCTCTCTCTCTCTCTCTCTCATGGCTTCTTTCTTGCCCTTATGCTTTCTCTCTCTCTTATCCCTTCTCTCTCTCTCTCATGACTTCTCTCTCTCTCATCCTTTTCTTTATCTCGCCATTTCCTTGTCTCTCTCATCCTTTCTCTCTCTCTCTCATGCCTTCTGTCTCTCTCTCTCTCTCTCATTCCTTCTCTCTCTCATACCTTCTCTTTTACCCTTATGCTTTCTCTCTTTCTTATCCCTTCTCTCTCTCTCTCTCTCATCCTTATGCTTCCTTTTGCCGATTCCTTGTCTCTCTCATCCTTTCTCTTTCTCTTCATCCCTTCTCTATCTCATGCCTTTTCTCTCTTTCTCTCTCATGGCTTCTTTCTTGCCCTTATGCTTTCTCTCTCTCTTATCCCTTCTCTCTCTCATCCTTATGCTTCCTTGTCTCTCTCATTCTCTCTCTCTCGCTCTCTCTCTCATGCCTTCTATCTCTCTTTCTCTTCATCCCTTCTCTATCTCATGCCTTCTCTCTCTCTCTCTCTCTCTCTCTCTATCATGCCTTCTGTCTTACCCTTATGCTTTCTCTCTCTCATCCTTTCTCTTTCTCACATGCCTTCTCTCTCTCTCTTTTTTTCTCCCTCTCATGACTTATCTCTCACCTCTCTATCATGGTTTCTCTCTCTTTGCCTCTCTCGCTCTCTGTGCCTTTTCTATCTCTCTGTTTCTCATGATTTTGTTCTCTTTCTCTCTCTATCATGCTTCTCCTCTCTCTGTAGCTCTCTTTCTGTCTATCATGCTTTCTCTTTTTCCTCTCTCTTATGGCCTCTGCCTCTTTCGTTCTTGCTCTATCATGCTTTCTCCCTCTCTCATGGCTTAGTTTTTTTTTTTAATCTCATGCCTTGTTCTCTTTTTCTTTCTCTTTCTCATTCCTTGTTTTTCTCTCTCTCATACTTTGTCTTTCACTCTCTCATGCCTTGTCTCTTTGTCTCCTTGACTTTGTCTTGTCTCCTTTCTCTCTCTTGTCTTTCTTTGTTTGTCTCTGTTTCTGTCCCTCTCTCTCATGCCTTCTCTTTCTCTCATTATCTTTTGCTTCTCTCTCTCATCCCTTGTCTTTCTCCCTTTTGTCTTCCTTTCTCTCTCTTTCTCTCTCTTGTCTTTCTATGTGTGACTCTGTTTCTCTCTCTCTCATGCTTTATCTCTCTCTCAGCTTCCTTCTCTCCCTTTCTCTCTCTTTCTCGCTCTCTCATGATTTCCTACCCATCTTTTTGTGGCATTAGTGTTGTTGCCCTTTAATACCAATGTCATGACAATCCTGCTTTTACTCTTCCTTACCAACATGTCTTCCACAAGTTCCTTCTCCACACCTTTAACCATCTCCGTCTCTTTCCCTCAGCGTGTGTGAGATCATCGGGCAGGCTGACGGCGGCCTCTCCGTGCTCCGGACCTTCAGGCTCCTCAGGGTCATAAAGCTGGTGAGGTTCATGCCCGCGCTGAGGAGACAGCTCGTGGTCCTCATGAAGACCATGGACAACGTGGCCACCTTCTGTATGCTCCTCATGCTCTTCATCTTCATCTTCAGGTAGGACACCACTAGAGCTGGAGATATTTTGTCATTAGTCGATCGATCGGTCTATGGAGAAAGGATTTATATGGGACAAAAGCAGACGCGAGTGAGTTAGCTGAAGATTTAATATTGTGAAATGTAATTCACTTAGAATGAACATCCTGGAGTTGGAAAGTGATTCATTACAAAAGTAAAAGTTCTTAAATCTGCACAATTCTTCATCAAGACAATATCATGAACATTTGACTCTGAAATAGCTGTCAGAATATCAGGGACACACTTTAACTTACACTTTTAGTTACACTGATATAGAATACATCAGTTTAGTGATTCAATTACTTAGGTAGTTTTTTAGATATACTTTTAATATTTTATAGGGGTGTAATGGTAAATGTATTAGTGCCAAACCGTTTCAGTACGGAATGATCAGTTGTGCACGAGTGAGTTCATGCAATTTGTGTGTGTTTACATTCCGCCAGTACATGTGCAGCTACACATAAGGCTCGTCCGTGATTGGGGCGCAGTGCTTTATAGTTAGGGCGGCCGCCTTAACAACAATTGCCCCCCGCCTTGACTACGTCCCTCCAAATCACGTGAATTCTCACAAAACTACTGCGGTCCTCACTTGTGCCTTTGGACGGCACGGAATCTCTTTTTATAATTTTTCATACATGTGTTGCTTAGTTGAGAATATTTTATATTTAACTTATTAATATTACCAAGCAGCACTTATTTTATTTGTGCTTTTGTATAATATTAAAACAAATTGTTAGTTTAATAAAAACACAAATAAACATTAAGCATATGGTTTTGCATTTTGTTCCCATACTGTACCGAATATGAACCGAACCCTGACCTCAAAACCGAGGTACGTCCAGATCCGTGATTTTTGTGTACCATTACACCGCTACTGTTTTAGTATTTTTTATTCTTGAGTAGCCAACTTTTTCTGCCAGTGTGACACAATAGGCTCCCTGTGGGGCCTCAGAGACACTGCAGGGGGCCTCCAAACTCAAAGCTTGACTTTAAAATTAACTTTACATCATTTATTTGCTTCATTTACCACTAGGGATGTAACAATATCCATATTTCTTAGTTCGATATTGTCACGATCTGACATCTCACAGTACGATATTTATTGCAACATTCTGTGGAGGCAAACAAACTTGTGAATATGCAATTTTTTTCCTTTATAAATGCCTTGACAAGACTTTGGTTTTGTCATAAACCAAAAAGTTAATATTGAAAATGTGTTTATTATTTATTTATTTAATAGGGACAGTGCATATTAATGAACATCTACAACATTGCAGTGTAAACATGACAGATTATGGCAAGAATGCAAATTTCCATCTGTAGTCCCTCGGCAGGTAACACCACAAATTTAACAGAGAGAAAACAACAAAAACAAGTGACAGTTCTAAACTAAAAGTGTCCACAAGTCTGGTTTTCTTTTAGCCGCTGTGTGGGATTTGAAAGTGGCAAATGTTGGAGTCTCTCTTACTGAAAAACTTACTGAAGTGCTTAATAAGTAATTTCATTGTGTAAATTGGACTGAAACAGAGCAAAGGATCATGGTCTATGTAGTTCCCTATGTTTCTTTTAGTTATAGCTGCGCGATAACAATGAATTTAAGCAAAGACACTTGATATTCAATATATTGGGAAGGCCTACGATATTATTGTGAGACTTTTGACGATTCGATATCACGATGTTTCGATTATTGCTACATCCCTATTTACTACTTTAAGTCAGTATTAAGCCCATAGACATTATAATATGTACTGTTAACCTGTATATATTAGACAACCTGTAATTTATTTTTTTTTTTTTATTGTATATGCGTTACTATTAGGGGGTTCCTGTAAAATCTACTGATAAATAGGGGGTCCACAGCTCTACAGATTTTGGGAATGGCTGGGCTATGTGGTTTGTAGTATTGTATTAAATAAAAAAAAATAAAAATAAAATAATAATAATAATAATAATAATAATAATAAATAATGATAATATCAGAACAACACTAACCTAGACTACACCAATGATGGCTAAGATTATTCTGTAGTGATGGGCGAATGGAGCCTCGTGAAGCATTGACACCTCAGTCGCAATATTGTCTCAAATGGTTCGACGTGTCTGAGGCCTCGGAGAAACACTGACCTCTAGTGGACAAATTTAACCACTGGCACCAGGCGTCTCAGCATCGATGAAGTATTGTTAGTGTAAGACAATACTTGTGTGCAGAGCGACACCGTACCTAACAACAACAATAATAATGATGATTTAAAATAATATGTAAAGAGCAACATAAATAGCTGCTGTAAATAAGAAAATAGGTGTGACCTTGTTTGGTGGAATTAGATCAAAGTGATCCCAAACCATGGACCCGCTTTTTTTCCACTTGTAGATGCCATCGAAAATTAAACAAATGCCAAAAGTCGCCAAATGTCACCAAAGTCACCACTAATGTCACACAATACTCCTCACTACCCAAGATTTTAAAGAAATATTGGTGCATCTTTTATACTGTAGCACAGGGGTGGGCAAACTTTTTGACTCGTGGGCCACAAAGGGCTCTAAAATTTGATTGAAGGGCCAGACCTGGAGCAAATGGAAGGAGTTTTTTGGTAATCCATCTCATAAGAGAAAAAAATATCCCATGTTATTGAAATATCCCATATTTAAACATCATTACAAAGCATTATAACAAAATATCTGTCTCTCAAGTCCCACAATATTTACTATTTATTGAAATGACCTTTAAAACACTGAAAATTATTATTATTATTCAAGTTCAGGGGGCCGGATTAAAAAGATTAAAGGGCCGCATATGGCCCCCGGGCCTTAGTTTGCCCACCCCTGCTGTAGCAGTTTAGCGCTTGTCAAACCACAGAAGTGCGCTGAACACTCTGAAGCATCTGAACCAATCGCAGAGCCGAACATTCGCCGAGCCAATGAAACGCTTCGATACACTGAAGCGATTGACACGCAGAGCGAAGCAGTAGGGGGAGGGACCGACACATCGACACTTTGGTCACGTGAGCGGCTGCTGCGAGACGAGCTCCGAGGCAGCGCTTCGGAGCAATTTGTTTCAGAAAGAACAAAACGTGCTCCGGAGCTCCGTCTCATTTGCCCATTACTATTATTTTGTCATCAACAGTCAACAAAAAGACGAAAAAGTGGCTGATGGTTCTGCTGCTGTGGTGGAAATGGAATGAGGGTTTCAATATCTTAGTGAAATGTCACAATGAAAAAGGTTATTTATATGAAAGAAATGAGAGATGATTGGTTGAGAGGCTGTGATTTGGTAGAATAATCAGATAACCCAATAATAAGATCTGATTTTAGTGTGTGTTTACAGCACAAAGGAAATCTGATCGCAAAAACACCTGGTGACATGTGTTTGTTAATCAGTGGGTTTTAGAGTCACTGTTGGATCTGGAAGACAAACGGCGACGATTTTAAATGAATTCTTTCAATCTTTATCATTTTCCACTCCGTTTCGTCTTTGCCACATTAGTTCGCCATCTTGTGTGTAATTGTCCTTGTCAAAACCTGCGCAGATGTGAACAATCAGAAATCAGATGAGCTTAGAAGCACTAACAATCCATGTATCGTTCATTTTTCAAAATAAAACCAAAAATAAGAAAACAAACTAAAATCCCCTTCATTCATTGTCTCTGACCAAAATGAAAAAAAAAAAAAAAAAAAAAAAAAAAAAAGAAACGATAATGCTTCTTCTTCTTTTTTTTTTTTTAAATAATGAAAAAACAAAAAACAAAAAAAGATAACGGCTGTTTCCCGTTTCCAACTTAAACTATGCTTGTCTAACATTTTAGGCGATCATGTTAATTTATTATAGTTTTGTAGAATAAAACCAGCATTAATTGAATAAACTAGGGCCCAACCGATATGGATTTTGTTGCGGCCGTTATGATACCAATAAAATGGGAGTTGGTGCTGCCGATATAAACGCTGATATATTTAGTGATGTAAAAATTCACTGTAAATCTTGAATTGTTTAAAAAACTTACGTTTGGCTCTAGTGGATTTTAAATTGGGTTTATTTAGGCAACATTTATTGTTATTCTGCCTCTTTACAGTCAGATTTAAAGACAGTAGTTAATGATATGTGTAAATGTCGATCATTCACACCTCTATTCACAGCTCAATTACATATCAATCCTAGTGTTCTGGTGTAGTCCTGGTTTAGACCTGGTTTAGTTCTGGTTTAGTCCTGGTTCGGTTCTGGTTCAGTCCTGGTTCAGCTCTGGTTTAGTCCTGGTTTTGTCCTGGTTTACTCCTGGTTCAGTTCTGGTTCAGTTCTGGTTCAGTCCTGGTTCAGCTCTAGTTTAGACCTGGTTTGATTCTGGTTTAGTCCTGGTTCAGCTCTGGTTCAGTCCTGGTTCAGCTCTGGTTTAGACCTGGTTCAGTTCTGGTTTAGTTCTGGTTCAGTCCTGGTTCAGCTCTAGTTTAGACCTGGTTTATTTCTGGTTTAGTCCTGGTTTAGTCCTAGTTTTGTCTTGGTTCAGCTCTAGTTTAGACCTGGTTTGGTTCTGGTTCAGCTCTGGTTTAGACCTGGTTCAGTTCTGGTTTAGTTTTGGTTCAGTCCTGGTTCAGCTCTAGTTTAGACCTGGTTTATTTCTGGTTTAGTCCTGGTTTAGTCCTAGTTTTGTCTTGGTTCAGCTCTAGTTTAGACCTGGTTTGGTTCTGGTTCAGCTCTGGTTTAGTCCTGGTTCAGTTCTGGTTTAGTCCTGGTTCAGTTCTGGTTTAGTTCTGGTTTAGTTCTGGTTCAGCCCTGGTTTAGTCCTGGTTCAGTCCTGGTTCAGTCCATGGTTTAGTCCTGGTTTAGTCCTGGTTCAGTCCAAAACGGCGCAAAAGTTCAGCATCTTAGCGGTTATTTTAGTGAGAATAACTTAAAGTGCTGCAATAGTCGTGTAATGTTTTACATTTTAAACACAGTAATATTGTAATGTAACAAATGACTTTGAAATGACAGTAACAAATCATAAATA